ACCGCAGTCTCACCTGCTGTCCCCTCCGCCCCCACAGTGTGCCCGAGCGCGTGCGGGAAGCGGGCGTGCACCGAGAACAACGAGTGCTGTCACCCCGAGTGTCTGGGCAGCTGCAGTGCGCCCGACAACGACACGGCCTGCGTGGCGTGCAGGCATTACTACTACGCGGGCGTCTGCGTGCCCACCTGCCCGCCCAACACCTACCGCTTCGAGGGCTGGCGCTGCGTGGACCGCGACTTCTGCGCCAACATCCCCAGCGCCGAGAGCAGCGACTCCGAGGGGTTCGTGATCCACGACGGCGAGTGCATGCAAGAGTGCCCCTCGGGGTTCATCCGGAACGGCAGTCAGAGGTCAGTCGTGCCCCCCCCCCACCCCCCGCCCCCGCACCGGACCCAATCCTGCGTCATTACAGTGGCCATGGAGCCCTCACTGCCAATGTCAGACTCCAACCTGGCAGGATGCACACACATCCCCTCCCTGTCCTGGGTTGCCCACCCCCAGCCTAAACCCAAGGAGGACCGAGATGGCCTAGGGAGCCCCGCGCAGCAGTGCGGCCGGGCTCAACCTCAAGCCTCATGCGGATTCTCATTCTTTCCTGATTCTTCCATTCAACAGAGTCATCGAGCACCTGCCCTGTACCAGCCACCTTGCTCAGCGCTAATGGTGCAGTCATGGCCAAGCTGAGAAGTCCCTGCCCTCACAGGGCTGACATTCTTATAGAAAAGAAAGCCAGTAAACAATGAACCAACCAAAGAAATAAGACTATTTCAGATGGTGATATAAGCACAATAAAGGCAACACAAAGGTGTGCTGGGTTTTCTGTTTCTTCCCCTGACCTCGATTCCATTCCTCTCCCCTTCCCCCACCCCCAGTCTTCTCTGGGCTCTCAGGGGCTGAGCCCTGTGGCTGCGTCCCTGGGTTCCCATGCCGCCTGATTCTTGCTGGGCTCAGACAGCAGGAAACCTGGCAGGAATGAGAGCCGAAGGGAAGAGAGGTCCTGGGATTTCTTCTCTGCTCCCCTGTGCCTTGTCGCCTGGCCCCGGGTGCTGACAGCCTCCCATGGTTGCTGGTCGCTGTGTTCGCTTGTCCTTGTCATACCTCTTCACGTTCCCAGCTAAGCATGCCCTGCCTTTCCTCCCGGGCCCTTGACTGATACAGGCGGATGCTGTTGAAAGTGCTGGGAGACAGGGTAGCCCGGGAAGCAAGCCTGGGTTGTTCAAGAAACAGAAAGATGGTCAGTTTGGCTGGAATGTCCTGAGTGAGGGGGAGAGGGAGGGCAGATGAAGTCAGAGATGAAATTCGAAATAGTTACCAGCTGGCTAAGCACAGCCACCACCCAGTCAGAAGGGACCCCCAGCTATAAAGGACTGTTGCCCCTGGAGGACAAGTGCGCTGGGTGACCAGACCCATGGGCGGGGGTGCATCAGCCGGGGCCCAGCAGAACGACAGCGGCGCCCACCCGCTTTGTCATGTGAGAACAGTTTAATAAAGGGACTCTTTATGCAGATGTGCGCAGGGAAGTCACAGGCTGGTGGAGATCTCTAGGACCACAACAACCCCAGGCAAGAGGGCGAGAGGACACGGCATCCACCAGAAGAAGGTGGAGTTGGGTAGACAGAGGATTGCCTTGAAGGAAGCTGAGACACAGCCTCAGTGACCACATGGGGAACGTTCCAGTGAAACCCACACCCAAACTCTTCCCTGTCTCCACTCTCCCGCTGCGGACAGCTGCTGGCCACTGCCCACCCCCCGCCCCCGGGAGCCAGACAACATCCCCACAGGTCCTCCTCCTGAGACCTGGACAGGCTGGAGAGGAGGGAAGCCTGGATCTTAGGAGGCAAATGGAAAACGTACAGCCCTCTGATCACGGAGGACCTGGAAAATCACGGTAAGAGGTTTGGATTTCAGGCTAAGCACAGTGGAAAAATACCAGGAATAAGAGCAATAAAATATCACTTGGATCCTTTGTCTCCATCCACAGGGAAGTGATGGGACGGGCTCTGCCCTTGACAGCCCGGACCGAACGGCTTCCCCAAGCACTTTGCGATGGGGGTTGGGAGGAAGGAGGAAGTTAAGAGCATGTCCTGGGAACCAAGCCCCCTGGGCAGGCCTGTGGCAGACAAACCAGCTCAAGAATCCCGGGGACCTCCAGCCTGCAGGGGACAGACCCACACGTTCAGCACACGAGACCCTCCTGAACAGGATGGAATTTGGTCTCCCTAAGAAATCAGAGAGTGCCCAAGGCTTTCCTCCAGAGGCTCCTGCAGAAGGACTGAGGAGGTCTGAATGGGAGGCAGAAGCCCACCCCAGACACGCTTTGCCAGGTTGTGAAATGGGCGAGCCGGCCCTGGGAGCCTGCCCACATGCCTCTTTCTCCAACCATCATGAAGGTTAAGGCAGGGATGCAGAAGAAGGGAGTGAGCGCGCTGTGCGCTCTCTCTGCCCGAGTGATGGGGATACGAGACAGGGAAATAAATTGCCTAGACTTGGACTCAGAGACCCAGGGTTCGAATCCTAGCCTGCACATCACAGGTGCACAGAGACACTGCGGTGAGAGAGAGAAGACTCTAATGCTTGGGATAATGCTTCACGGGCTCAGGGGCCACCTGCACGTGAGCCAGGCCCTGGCTCTGCATGTGTCCCTGACGTCCTCCTTCAAAGGACCAATAATCCGAGCTTATTTCATAGAAGAAGAAATAGGCTCAGAGGGACTGAGTCCCTCACCCCCACTCCTGCAGCTGGGTAGTGACAGAGACAGGAGGCAGCCCCAGCCTCTGTCTTACCGGCACCCTCTCCACCACCAGCACCTCCATCCATAGGGAGAAGGATGGAGCCCCCAAGCCTGGGCTCCCTCTGCAGATGCTGGAGTCTCTATAAAGAGCCCAGCCCGATGCTCCTTTCCCAGCCTCACTAGGTAGGAGCTGGATCCTGCCTGATTCATTCCTTTAATCAGGGATGGAGTGGTGGCAGCGACTTCCAGAAGAACACTCCACACTCATATTCAAGTTAAGTCATTGCTTTAATATCCACAGGGCAGAGGCAGCTGCAGCTGGAGGTCTATGGGCTCTCCGCCGTCTCCGTGGTCTGTGTGCAAGGCACTGCCTACCACAGGGCCCTAGGGCAGTCCTGTCCCACCACCCCACGTCTGAGGATGGTCTCCCTCCTCTCTCATGGGGCCGCACCAAGGATGTAGCTGTGCCTGCAGGTGCTTCTCGGACACTTAGCTGTGTGGGCAAACCCCGAGTCCTAGGGGCACTTCTAAAACGGATGTCCATGTGGGTTCTGGCTCCAGCCCCAAAGCTTTCAAGCTAAGCCTAAAAAAGATATAATCCAGAGAGGTTACATAATTTGCCCAGGGTCACACAGCCCGCTAGAGGAAGCACAGGGGCTTGAACCCAAGTCCATGTACTCTTTCCAATCCATCACGCGACCTCAGTGGGTCCCACGCAGGCCCTAGGACAGGTGCAGCCACTCCTGGGCAGGCATAGCCAGCAACATCACTCTCTGGCTCTGTGACGTGGGCAAACAGCCCCACTCGCTACGCCTCAAGTGCTTCTTCGGTCATAGGGGGCGTCAGGCCGCTGCTGACCTCGGATGAGGTAAGAAAGCGGAACTGCTCTGTGTACTGTAGAATGAGGTGCACCTTGAGGATGTGGCGGCCTAGAGCTGTGGGGGAAAGGCAGCCCCTGGCTGATGTTAGTGCGGGGGTTGGGGAGTGGCAGAGAAGGGACTTGGGCTGGGAATGGATGAAGGAGCCCCAGCAGATTCTGGGGGCGAGGAGCCCTGCAGGACCTGGGAGCAGGAGGAGTTGGGGCCAGGCTCAGGGAGAGAGGGGGCGTCCTGCTTGGACCATGCAGGGCTGGGGCTGGGGCATCCGGAGGAGAGAGCAGCAAGGAGCCAGGAGACCACACCTCTCCGGGGCAGAGTGAGAAACGGCCAGGGTGGGCCCGGCCGTGGCAGGGCTGTGCTTGGCGCTGGCCTCGTCTCTAGCCTCTGAGCCTCAGGCCCCTCTCTGTACAGTCGAGGAAATAGATCTGCTTTTGGCATGTATGGAACATGCCTGACATACCGTAGGTGTTCAATAAATGGGTCCCATTATGATCATGATGATGATGGTTAGCAGATTACTGAAAATCTCCGAGTCTGTTTTCTAGGCTATGGGATAGGAATAATCAGATTTATGTCACAGTGTCCTTAGGGAGCTAAAGGTCATAGTCCATGTGAGCTGCCAAGCACAGGGCCTGATGCACACTAGGTGATCAACAATCACCAGTCCAGTCTCCCTGTCTTCCTGTTTTCAACCCAATGAGCAGATGTGGAACCTACAGGTGGACATGGTAGAAAGACAGGCTCTGGTTCCTTCCAAGAGCTCTCCTCTCCCTCTTGACAGATAGTGAACTCCCCATCCCTGGAGACATGCAAGGAAAAGTCAGATGACCTTGTGTCAGTGGAAGAAGGTGATAAATTTCCTGCAGGGGCCTGGATTCAAGGCCAAAAGCCCTTCCAGCCTGGAGCATGCACAATTCTACGACTCTGCAAAAGCCAGTGTCACGAGGGGGCCCAGGCCTGGCCTACAGTGAACACGACCTTGGACTTGGAGTCAGAAGGCTGTAGGCTGAATCTCGACTCAGCTTCTTCATTTCCGAAGGCACTCCCTCTGACCGAGGAGCTCCTAGGGTGCCGCTGAGTGGCACCTATGACACCCCCCGCCCCCGCCCCAGGCAGCCCCAGGCCCAGGCGCAACCCCAGCAGGTGTGTTTGGAGAAGTACATCCCAAGTCTCACCCCGTCCATGCTCCCCAGCTCAATTACAGGCTCAATATTCTTTTCTATGTAATCCCCAAATCAATATGTGTGCGTACATATTTAATCGGGAGGCTGTTTTTATTAGAGTGGGGATTAGTTTTACATCTCTCTACTCACTGCTTAGAAGGCATCCGCCACTCACGAGGAAGATGAGCAGATTAACGAGGGAAAGGCCTAAGTGTGGGCTGGGCCTGGTGCCCTGGCCAAGCCAGAGAGACTGAGAGAAACCTCCGGGGCCTGCCATCCCCTCTGCAAGAGGATGGGTCCTGCCGCTTGCCAGCTTCCTGTCTCTGGGGCCCACCTTGCAGCCCACCCCCCACCCCTGCTGGAGGTCCCTGCCCAGGGAAGCTCCCCAGGTCCTCCCAGACCTGCTCCCCACCTTCCGCCAGCTAAGGAGCCAGAGAAACAAGGCCCAGCCGCCTGTTAGAGGTAGGAGAGTGGAGGTCACCCTCAGCCTTGCCTTCCAGAAGTAATAGATTTCTCTTTCCAACTCCGAGTCAAGGCTGAGCAGAATAAATTATCACCCTTCCGCCGCAGAATCACTGTCACGCTCAGCCCCAGCTGCCATCTGCTTCCTCACCAGCATCCCCACATAGCCAAGCTGGAAGGAAGGCAAGGGCACGTGGGTCTGCAGGTCACCGCGCTGGCCAGAGAAGGACAAGGGCAAGAACACTCTGGGGGCTGGAGCAGGAGAGGGGAGGGCTGAACAGGTTCCTCAGGCCCCACTGAAACAGGGCTCGAGCAGCCGTAAGTGGGCAGGTGATGTGTCAGGCCCCAGCTCCACATCGTCTGGTCTCATCCTCACGGCGTCTCTAAGAGACAGAGCCCGTTCCGATCATCCACATTTCATCCGCAT